CAGCAGCTGCATTCACTGAGCACTTACGAGGTTCCAGATCCTGTCCAGACACAGACGAGGAAACTGAGGCAGCAGACGTTAACTTTCCAGAGTCACTCAGCAGGCAAGTAGCAGCATCAGGAAATGAGCCCTGAAATTCCAGGTCCAAAACCCACCTAATTAATCAACTCAGAAATGCTGAGTGCTAATTTCAAGAGTTTATCAAATGGAATATGTAAAGATATTTTCTTGGTTTTAGAGGGCTGAGGCTGCCAGCAAGGTTGAGAGGGACCACCTCTCCTCCGTTCCCCACGCAAGTTCCTGCTGCCCAGAGGGACCTGTCCTGGCCAGGCTGATGGACAAGCTGCCTTGAGGGGAGTTAGAACCCCTAAATCTGCAAAATCGCCAGTTGTATGTATTCACTCTTTATTTACTTACTCTCTGGGAACGTAGAGATGCATTTTGTGACAGAAGCAAAGCTAAGAGCTTGCCCCAGCCATGTCAATTCTGGCCCCCATCACATAACCCCAGCAAAGTGGAAAGACCCAACTGTCTCAAAGAGCCAGTTGTAGTCCATTCCCAAAACACCTTCCCAGGCTCCCCCCTTCCTGGTCTCCATAATTATTTGTTTTCACATACCATACCACTAAGTCATAGTATCTGAATCGGGGGTTGGGGGTGTCGCCCTCGGGTTTGGTGATTCACTAGGACTCACAGGGCTCAGAAGCTGGTATAGTTACAGTTACAGTTAATTCAGTAAAAGGTTGTGGAAAAGAATCAGCAAAGGAAGAAGGCACGTGGGGCAAAGTCCAGGGGAAACCAGGTGCAAACTCCTAGGTATCCCTCTCAGTGGTGTCACATGAGGATATGCCTGATTCTCTCAGCAACAATGTGCAACAACCTATGCAGAGTGTTGCCCATTGGGGAGGCTCATCCAGTTTCGGTATCCAGGGGTTTTATTGGGGGTCAGTCACTAGGCATGCAGGGCCCATGTGACTGATCTCAGCTACTCAGACTCCAGCCTCCAACCCAGAACAAAGCTGGTGTTCACCATAAATCGCATTGTTAGGATAACAATTGCACAGCATGTCCCAAGCCCGCAGGCATGCAAAAACACTCTTATCTTGCACAACATTCCAAGAGCTCAGAGGTTATCTCCTAAGAGCCAGCCAGATCTGGAGGCAGGTTCTTATTTGTAATATGCAAGGTTGTGATCAGAGAAAAAGATAATATCTCCTCAAACCAGTCTACCAACAATATCAAAGAATAAAAAGGAACAGTGAAAATCAGACTCTCTAGTCAGCTGTGTCTGGGAGAGTGTGGTGCGTGGGAGCCCCATGGCCATGGTTTCAACTCTTCCTTCCACCCGAAGTTTGATAATGTAACATGTTTATTTACATAACAAACATTAAGTAGATGCCTGGATAACAATATGAAGTCCACAGCCTCTGCCCTGAAGAACTCAGGGTCTAGAAGAAGAGGCGCCCTGTTGTCAGTGTATGATCACATGTCACTAAGCCACGATGCTCTCTGCTCCTGTGGCACTCAGTGTGAGCCTTTGGTGCTGGGGATGAGGTAATGGAAGCATTTTCACATGTGCTGACATCTGAACTGAAGCCCCAGTGGTGACTACGAGTTGCTAGGTCAACAGGGAGCAGAATACTAATGCAGGAAAGGAAAAGGTAGGCTATTTCAGGCCGAGGGTTTAGCACGTGCATTAGAGACAGGAGAGCTCAGTGAGTTTGGGGATTCTGGACGTCGTATTCAAAAGGTCCTCTCTATATAAGGTCAAGTTGGTAAGGCTAGTTGTCACTAAGTAATTTATGACAGAGCTTTCCAATCTTTTTCCATCATGGCATTCATAAAAAAAGAATCCAGTTTGAATCTCAGACCTCCTTTACAATTGTTGTTCATTTTACATTCTTGTTTTACTACATTTCCATCCTCAAACATGTGCATGGAATGGAAGAATCAGATAAATAGAGGATCTTCACACTTACCAACACAAAATATGATTTTTTTCTCTACTGCTGCCTGTCCTTCCCTACCTACTCATCTGTTCTAAATAAACCTTAACAAAAAAAAAAATAGAAATCACCTGTGTTTTTCCTTATGTGTAATATCTTAGCTAGGTCTGCTGTGAAATGTAATTGGTAGTCAATTATGTCCATTACAAATAACATCTTCTACTAGAGTAAACTTCTTTTTTAAAAGGCATTTTTCCATTTCTGTTTACAAATTCAAGTGCTTGGTTTTCATATCACTTGCACGTGTATAGATCTCACGTGGTACATAAAGAGCAAGTCAACAGATTTTATAGCAGAGGACAAAAACAGGCTGAGACACAGACAGGAACTGGCACAGCACTGCTCGCCACTTCATGAGTTAGAAAAAAATAACCAAAAAGGTAGCTTTCATTCTAACAAAAAACTGTGCCCTGTGATAATCTCGTAATAGAGTTCTAATTCATGTGACGCAATTAAAAACACAGAAAGTGCACATCTCGGGGTAGAAGTGAATCATGTATTTCTCGAGAGGCTGTTCTTCTTTGTACAACCACATCAACGAAACTTGGGTTTCTCTTTCATCATGCCGGTAAGAGCTGACGATGTGTTTGCCACCCAGATGAGTGGTTTCTGCATAAAAGCTTAGTGTGGCTCACATAAATGGTATCGAATTCAGGCTGGCCTGGAAATGTGGTAGCTCAACTTCAGGTCCCAACCCACTTGTTTTCTTGCTTCTTCTCTCACGAGAAACAAAACATATCTTTATGGTACCATCGCTAAGGGCTGTTTTAATTTTGATCACTTTACTGCTATCATAGGATCAACTGCAGCCAATTAATTGCCATATTTTTTTTAAAGATTTTTATTGGGGAATTGGGGGGGATGGGAACAGTGCTGGGGAATCGGGGGAAGGGGAACAGACAAGTTGCTGTCATTTTTGTTCTTCAGTCTAGTTTTGGAGGATGTTGCTTCACTGGCCCAAGTTGGCACCGTCATTGCGCTCTTCCCTGGTGAGGCAGATCAGTCGCCGGCTTCTGGACGGCGGCTCACTGCGGCTGCTGGCCGCTCACGCTGGCTGCTGGCTACACACAGTAGCCCATGGCAACCCACTGCAGCAGGGGCTGCAGCCTAC